GAGAGACTGACTGGGAAAGCGAGCCACCCGGGGAAACCGGGCTACTGGAGCAAAGCATATATAGAGCTATATTCTGAGTTATTGACGGAGAGTTTGAATGCGCAGTGAGCGCCTTGTTCTGTTGTATATACCGAGAGACTTAAATAAAAGCTCACGTCCCAGTACGCCGACCCTGTCTTCTTCCTTCCGCCCTCTTGAACCGTATCACAATGTCCTTTTTTAGGATAGTACAAAGTATGCGTGAGTCTATGACTACAAAATCATATCATACTATAGTATAAAATCATACATAGGCTACTAGGCTATATGACTACAAAATCATAGTTGGCTTTTTCTAAAACTATAATTCCTGACTAAAATGTTTGAAATCGAGAGAAACATGTTGAATACAATTCATTGTATTTACATTTCTTACCACGCAATGATGTTTTCATGCTCTATATAATATAAAACAATAGCATATATAAAAGTAATATGAGTGTACACTGTAATATGATGAATGCTACGAGTCTAACAATGTTTAGACCATGTTTATTATTATATGTATCTGTTCACAAATAGATTTTTATAACTGCTAAGCAATAATAATTAGTTTCTCAGATATAAAATGTCCTTTTTTTTACAGTAGTACAAAGCATGCATGAGTCTATGACTACAAAATCTCTCTGTTCACATCACTGTGGTTAGACCAGTGTTAACAACAATGTGTCTTTGACCATTATGTATGTTTTGATTATACTGTGTTGTAAATAAAATGAAAAAAAAAAAAATAATTAAATCTCACATTCTCTCTTACCTGCCTCACGGTCACATGACTCACTGATGGCCCATTAGGGGATGGCCCTTTGTCTCTCAGGTGTGAATCACTAAATATTAATGGACATTGTCACTCCCTCGCATAAAGCTTGTCTATCACAAAACATGTCTTACAAAATTTAAATCAATATATTTTTTTATGTGAATGAGTAAGCAGAATGATTTTCACATCATTTTGATGTAAATATTCTAGCCTACAAGACGGATTACTCAAAAGTCTTATTCAGAACTATTCAGTATGTGTTTTATGGCCTTAATTCAGCTACATTTTCCCCCAAAACTTACTAACCACGCATAATATTTTTTTTTCTAAAAAAATGCAAACATGTAGATCAATCTTGCTCACATATTATTGTATTATTGTTTGTGCTGAATACAAAAAAAACAAAAAAATTACACGTTGACCAATAGTATGTTACAAGTAGCTGAAATAAGTACAAATGTCAGGGCATGTCAAAACATCTCAAGGGCCCCAAAATCCCCTCAGACCCCAGAGGGATAAAGGTTGTTTGGTGACAAAAGATGTATCCCTAAGGCTGCTTCCACTGGTTTCTGCTCTCAAGTTGTGGTGTTGCAGTCATTTCTCCTCTGTCTTTTAAGTCACAAGAGAATGAGAGACTCAACAGGCTTTGTTCTGTAAGGCTGTTGAAGATTTACATTGACCACACAAGTCAGTAGCTTAAATGAAATCAAATCAGTTAATTATTTGTTTTGGTGGCTGGCACAAAGGGCTTGTGGCTACATATAGGATGTTGCATTAGGTAAGGATGTTGCAAAGTATATGATGTTGCATTAGGTAAGGGACACAATTGAAGTTTTTATTGCCTGAGATGAAGCCACACTCCTAGTACAGTGGGCTTTATCTAATGCTGGCCATACTGCAATATTTTGGTATTGTGGAAATTGCCAACAAAGCCCAAAATCAGTGCTTGTTCATGTGTGCAATCTAAGAAAACTGCTGATGTGTTACCGATGCCTGTGAGATATTTAGCACGCTAAACATCTCAACCTGTCGGCGATTCAGGGTCCTGCAGTGTTAATGTTTTGACTAAAAATGACATTGGCGATGACCTACAGCCAATGAGAGAGCACGATACAGGGCAAGGGAAAGTTCAGGGTGTGGAGTAAAGAACAGCAACAAAATATCAGCATGCATGCCTTCTGTAATGAACCATATCGCCTTCATATTCTTTTTTTTTCTTGTTCGCTGCAAACCAGCATACAGTACAGACAACTTGTATCGCAAGTTTCTTGGGGTCTACAATTTGTAACAGGAAGAACACTAGTTCACACAATAACTCCTGTCTTACGCTTGATCTTACATTATTTCCTGCATCACTTTTCGCTGGGACTCTGCACACTTTTATCACATTTTCGATAGTAATTAAGATATGGATTTGACTCCTGGTTCTAATCCAGGTTTTATCTGTTTGAACACAGCCACCTACTACTGTAATTTTGTAGCTTACAGAAAAGTTGCTGAAAAATCGTTGTCACTGAATCGGGAATGAGATGTTCCATCATAAAGCGCTGGTGACACTGTGCCTTCTGGGTTGGTGTGTTTCTATCAGGGATGCGTTGATCCAATACCGAGTATTGTTACTGGTTCAACACTACCCTTTTTTGTCGGGTAAAAGTCAGATGGGATCGATTAAAATCCAACATTACGTTACCTATTGTTGTTACTGTCAAGCTCAAAAAATAACAAACATTATAAAAGCACCATAGAAGGTTTACTGCATTGTATTCCAAGTCTTCTGAATCCATATGTAGGTGTGTGCGTGTGTGTGTATATTTGTCCTTATTTACAATGAAGTGGTGTGTAGATATTGTAAACTGATCAAAAAAAAAAAAAAAACTGCTATCAGCAGATACTAAACATTGCTGTATCGGACATAAAAAAGTGGTACTGAGCCATTCCTAGTTTCTATACAGGCTTTAGAGAAACTCCACATCTGGGGGGTGTTCCCATAGCATCACTCAGTGACACATCTTGTTCCCTATTCAGAGAGCCAGGGTTATATAAGCAACAGACCAATTTCTTGTTAATTTACTTACTAGAATTTTAATATTGTATTAATCATTTGTTCCTGTGTATTCAGGATGGAACAGTATTCTAAAGTGTTACTGGTTTATCTTATAATGCATAATTTCAATATGGCATATTTTGTTTTACTCAAGTGTTTTCAAAGGGTCTGTTCATATAATGAAAGAGAGAGAAAAGAAAATAAACAGTTTATTGGTCATTTCAAAACCTTTTTTTTCCCCTGCCAGGGATACTTTCATTAAAAGTAATAAAATCAGGAAACTCAAATCCACTTGTCATGGTGAAATTTCAGAATTGGAACTACCTAAAGACAGACAGACAACAACAACGATAACGATAAAGATAAAGATAAAGATAATGATAATGATAATGATAATAATGATAATGATAATACTACTAATAATATTAATAATAATAATAATAATAATAATAATGATAATTTCCAATGTTAAGAGCCCATGGTCAGTCATTTCCAGGATGATGCACTGAAGAATCAGTTCTGGGCTTTTCCTGATTGATGGTGTTAATGCTGAAGTTCTTCAGGCAGCAGGGTGGAGTTACTTCAGTGCTGGCAGTTTATGGTGTTACTGGCAGTAAGCACTGCATTGTTTGGCTAAGAATGGCTAAATTGAAGAAGCAATGAATCAGTTCTTAGACCCAGCCTTCTCCAGTCTGTCTGAGTCTCTGGCCAGGTTGGGGCTGATGCCCCTGAAGCTTCCATAAGTCCGCTTTGGTGTCCCACTCAGGGCTGGTGGGGTCCCTGTATCCATGGGGCAGATATAATCTGCTGATTCATCCACTCTGAGCTTTCTTAGTTGTCGGAAATGAGTAAAACCAAGCTTCGTTGGCTAAGACACAGAAATGAATAACAATACAACATGACAAAAATGATACTTGGAACTTTTATGTAGCATAAAATAGATTATTTTGTTTGGAATATCATACCCTGACTTTGGCAGTGGTGGTAAGTGGTGCATGCCCACTGGCATTGGCAAACTCCTGTTTCTCCTGCTGGGCCTGAGGCCCCACCAGTGAGTTAAAGTTAGTGGCGAGGTGGCGTCTGAGGAGGGTTTTCTGTGGAGGGATGTTGAGCAACATGGCCAAGGTCTCTGACTGAAAGCGAGGCTCCAGGATCTGATATGGAAATACAAACAACTTAAAGGGATATTTCACCCCAAATAGTCATGCTATTTTTTGTAATGTTACAGCTAAAGTAAAATCAGTTTAACATGATCAACTTAAAACAGATAAACAACTTAAAATAGATAAAATACCATGCATAAAATCTCACTACTATGTGACACTGAAATAAACATCCAAAAAAAATAAAAAATAAAACTTTGTCAGCCCTTTTTGTAAATATCATAAAGGAGTCGAGGAGCAGCCTTTCAGCAGAAAATTAGGCAATCAAAAATGGTCCCTTCCTATGAGTAATATTGTGCATTTGTTTTTAGTCCTGCAATAAAGTGCCTGCATGTGTTTCTGGGTCTAAAAATGATGGAGCAGGTCACACAAATCCACTTAGTGCTAAACTATGTGCATCTGTTTTCACACCTCTCAGTAGTGCACAGACAAAAGTAAGCAGAAACAAGCCTGCGCTGGGGCACACAAAGCTGGGGCACACAAAACCTAAGCATTTCAAGAGTGCTAATATAACGGTCCAACAGCCTTGAGACTTCTCATTGTGTCATTCCACTTGTCTGTGTTTGCATGTTCCAAAAAAAACTCTTAGTCTGCATTAGTAACAAGGATTTTTTAGTGACTTTTCTGTAGGTTACAAAATTACAGTTGAAGGTGGCTGTGTTAAAGCAACGCCATGTAACATTTGCTCACTGTTCCCCCATGTGGTTCATAAGCACAATTGTCTGTTACCAGAGTCGTAAATACTGTCGCTGTATAAGCTTCCCCGTGGGCAGCGCAATACACGTGAATTTGTTGACTAAGCTAACGGAACCGGCGAATGCAGAAACCTTATTTGTCAACCATGTCTAGTTTTATGCTCGAGTTCAGCCTAGTTTTTATGCTTGCATAATTTGTATGTAGCATTGTTTGCAAAGGGTGTAATTTGTATAATATAATAAAATGTTGTCCGCGCAATCATGTAACCATAATGTCCATAATAGCCTATACATAGGTCATTGCCATACGTTTATAAGGCTGTAAAGTAACAGAGACTCTTTATTTGAATAATCGTTCAGATGTGAAGTAGACTGGGGAATTAGTTCCCTTTCATGGGAACTTCGAACTGCATCCTCTAGGGGTTGCTATGGGGGAACGCCTCGTCGTCAGACGAAGAAGTGAATGATGTGTGCTCCCGGCGCCTATTTATATAACTACCTTAAAAACTGTGCACATGTGTACTTTAAAACTTGAGTGTTTTAAAGTCAAGGGTGGTTACACCAACAATTGATAGGATTCAATTAGAAGTTCATTGATAAAAACTGTCCATGGTATTATTTTTGAAAACTTTGAAACAAGCTAAAGCATTGTTTCACAAGTGCTTAAAACATTTCTCAGTATTGTAGTTTGCAGGTAGACAGCATCATCTGAGTTACAGTTCAGCCCTAACTGCAAAATAAAAAAAAAATAAATGAATAAAAAAAAAATATATCTCAAATTGTCACTATATATATATAGCACTTATATAATTTCCCACACCTGCCCCTTGTTTTAGCCCTCATCAGTTCTAGTATATCTTGTCCACTTTCAGTTCAGTTCGTTGTCTGGTATTGTTTGCTGTCATGCGTTTTCTCCTGCTGGTATACCTATTTGGATGATCTTTTATCGTTTGTTTTAATAAAATACCTGCCTCCTTGTCCTATTTGTCTCACTTGTCATGACAGATACAATCAATACAATACAATGGATCTAGAAGCTGTCCATCACTTCCTTCTCACCCAGAAAGATCACTCTCTCGAGAACCACACCAGAAACTTCTTGGACCTTGCCCACCAGACCCACTATCCTGACAGTGCACTTATGTATTTCTTTATTCTCAATTAACAATTGAAATAACAACAACAACAAATCCCTTTTTCAGTTTATGGCTCCATCTCAGTCCAGTGAGCCTGCATCTCTGCCTTAAAGGGGTCAAATGACATTGCTAAAAAGAACATTATGTTGTGTATTTGGTGTAATGCAATGTGTTTATGCAGTTTAAGGTTAAAAAAACACATTATTTTCCACATACTGTACACTATTGTTTCTCCTCTATGCCCCGCCTTTCTGAAACGCGTCGATTTTTACAAAGCTCATCGGTCTGAAATGTTACGCCCCTTACCATACTGTGATGCCGTGTCCCGGCGCGATGAGACAACACAAATAAAACCCATTACAAACGAGGCATTTGTTGCATCCAGTAGGGACATAATTACTGATTATAATGACTTATACTGTCTTTTTACGCGTTGCGTATCGCGCCTCGTAAACATAAAACCATGTCTGCATTTGTGATCGGAGAAACAAACAACAAGTGCTACTCTACACTGCTCAAAACTCGCGTTTGAATCGTCAGTGGCAAACTCTTTAAATATAAAAAACTTACTTACAGGCTGTGAGTCAAAAGCACCAGACTGTCCTTGCAAAGTGAGGAACTGCCCCACTTTATAGAAACATCCTTTGTGCACAGACGCATTGTAGGCTACTCTGCAGGTTCAGGAAACAGTCCTCCATAAAATGTACTGCACACTTCTGAATATTTGGGTTGAACTGTTCTGGAACAGTGTTGTAAATACAACTTAACCACTGATTTCTAGTCGTGTCTCTTTGGGTTTGAGTCTTTAGTCTTTGCAACTTTAGGGATCTTATCTATGCACGAACAGCTTATAACACTCCAAAAAGAAAGGAAAATTTGAAATTGCATCATATGACCCCTTTAACTTTCCAGACCAGCAGTGTAGCCCTGGATCTTCATCTTCTTGGCTCTGCCTAGGTCTCCACCTCTCCAGAATCCGCCTCTTTCTGTCACCCCACTGGTTCGAGCTGGCATAACCATCAAGTCTGTGGCCACTTCCACTGCCAGCTTCTTCGTGGCCTCTTCTCTTCTCACAGAGCTGGCAGTGGCAGAGACCACCAAGGACAGCTCTTTGGTGGTTTCTGCCACTGCCAACTCTGTGGCATCAGTGTGGACTCTTTCATATGGGGATCCTAGTCCTCCTTCCTTCCTCCCTAGAGTCATCATCACCCCCTCCCACCACCCAGGTTTTTTTTTTTTTTTTTACAATGCCTAGCAGGATGGGAATGTACTGTTAGTGTTTCTTGGAGTTTTAATTTGTATAACCTTTTTCTTGTTTCCTGTGTTCGCGCTTTTCATTTGTCACCACAGTGACCCATTGAGCGATCTGATTTCTCACACCTGTTCCTTGTTTTACTGCCTTGTCCTGCCTTCTCTTTTCAGTTCAGTTCTTTGTCTTGTATTGTTTGCACTGCCATGTGGTTTGATTATCTTTTTTGTTTTGTTTAATAAAATAGCTGCGTTTATACCTTCGTCTTTGTCCTATTTCCCTCCTAGTTGTAATGGCTGGACAAATCAGACACATTATATTTAACAAATAATCCAAAAGACCCCTCACCCAATAACTGGACAGGGTACCGAGATCTGTGAAGCCACAACTAACAACCAGAGGCAGAACAGGCCTCTGGTTATAATAGCAGCAAGGACAGATTAAAAGTTTAAGACAGGTTTTATGGCCCAATGGAATTCACGAAAAGTTTTACTCTCACTTAATTCACTTCAAAACAGACACATACTGCCCATAGAAAATGACTTATTTCATTAATTCATAGCCAAACCGTTCTATGAATGAACATGAATATCCCCAGGTCATTATGTGTATTATTAATGTTCTTGTACATTTTCTTTTGTGTTGTATACTGTTCTATGCATACTTTATGAACAAGCCATGTTGCAACTTTTCACTCTGGAGCAAACTCTTCTGAATTTTACTGAGTCAGAATAACATCTTTGGTGTCCTGAAAGAACGTGATCACTATTCCAATACCATCTGAACTTCAAATCATCAAGACTTTCATCCAAGACTGCATCCAGATGCTCGTTTTAATGGCCAAGGCAATGAAAGTATTGTTCATTTAACTAAATGGAACAGAGGTTTAGTATAAGCTGTAGACTCCTTTGTAAAAAGGCACTGGTGGTCCCTTCAGATGGTTAAACTGACTTGTAACTGTCCATTCCTCCCCCTGCTTGATTTTGGTTTATTCAGTCATTTTCACTTTTTCATATACCCATGTATGCATCATTGTATATGTTTGTTTAGACTAGTTATGTGTTTGTGATTTAGTTAATAAAACCTTGTGCACAATACATGAGTTCTCCAGTTCTGATTCTGTTTGCAGATCAATGTCACTTAAATGATTCCCGATCTTGCTACATGCTCTAATGCATTAATAATACTGCAAGAAAGTTATTTTCTGTGGCTACAAAAATAACTTTTCTTAGTTGATATGAAATTACACTGAATGTTCGTTGTACAAACAGATTAGTTGACTGTAATATGAATTATTCTACAGTTACAGTTACATCTGGCAGCTGAGATAAATAAGTATAACTAAATATAATTAATTGTAATTATTTATATACATTTCCCTTTTGAGCTAATTCACTACATAGCTCTAGTTCCAAATGTTGTTCATTTGGATAGGACAAGTTTCTGAGTACTAAATAAAGTGTTCCCTCAGTTTTTAACCAATAAATGTCAAAAAGGTTTTTACCCTCAATGTAGAGACTGCAGTATATTAGAAATTATTTAACTTGCTGGATTGGACAATCCTGTTATCTACATGACATATATAGTATATTTAATGTATGGGAATATTTAAACCTCATTAGCAGTAGTACTTTAATGACCAGTGAAAGCTGACTCACAATTAGGCCTCCATGAACGCCGCTACCTCTAAGGTTTGGAGCATATTCAGCCAAATCCACCGATCTCAACCACTCCATCACACGATGGTTGGACCACTGCACCACCTCAGATGGAGATGTCTTATTCTGCAAATATAAATAAATAAATAAACTGAAATATAGTCTTTCGGTGTTCCAAGTTTTGTCCTTTGTGGAGATGTGAGTATCCTATATAATTCTGAAGTTGAAATGGTGAGTTTTTAAGCTGCAATTTGTCTTACTTCATCCCCTGGCCTGCGTCTCAGGCAGTTTGGGTTAAACTTGTTAACGTGGAGGACATGGATGGCACATTTAATGCTCAGATGATGGAGCTGACTGGTGACTTTCAAGAACAAGAGATCATTCTGTGAGAAAAGAACATCAGTTTCTAAAGGGTAAAAATATGTGAATTTGAAAAATATCGCTACACTGCATTTTTAAGACAGGGATAGAGGCAACTTTTGGTCTTACCACTGTTAGGTACTGTAGCATGCGGCCATCAACCTTGCTTTCATAGAACTGATCTTTGTACTGTGGTAAACCGACATCATCAAGCCAACCTAGAGATGGAAAATAGGGTATAGTGGAAACACATTAATTTATTTCAACACTGTCATAGTGTCAATCTTTTCTTTTCTTTTCTTTTCTTTTCGCATAGAAAGCAGTTGTATTTCCTTCAAATCTAGCTATTTTGTTTATTAGTAGTACATACGTGTAACCCAGATGTGATCCAGTTCTGAATATTTCTCCATCGTCTTGTAACTAAAAGCTCTGAGAGACAATTGCAGCTTTTTTCTGTGCAGAGGATGTTTAATACAAATCTCCTGTTGAAAACAGTGTATAAGAGTCATAGGAACTGTACTGTTTTAGTAAGACTTTCATGCAGAAAAGTATATTTTTGTGGTTGGTTAAAAAAAAAAAAACTATGGTTGATCATTTTACATCATGCAGAGTACATTCTTACTAATATAGCCCATAGTGAAAGACCAACATAGACAGCAACATAACCAAAATATAAAATTATATAAATAAAAATTAAACCTTCTCAAGCTCCTGCGGAGTGGCAGAGAGGAGGGTTTGTCCGCTGTCCACCCACTGACGTGCCAAACTGACATACTGCCCCAAACCAATGTCCTCCAGCCAACCACACACCTGCTCAGTCGTCCACTTAGAGAAAGGTGTGTGTGCACTAATGATGACAAGATAATAACATCATCAGAGCAATAACAGTTATTTATCTGTATTGTCCTTTCAAAGTCTATTGCACCTCTGGCCCTGTCTGTTTATGAAGGAAACTTTACCGGGATGAGCATCCAGAATCAGGGGTCCGTGTTAGCCGAGGCCCAGCTGTGGCCCTGAACCCTCCTCTCTTGAACTGAGTGGGCTCAATGTCATCTGACAGCACACCTGTCCTCTTCATCCTCAATACAAACACATCCTGTCAGATGCTTGTTTTTCATTGGTTTTACACAGAAACAGGGAAGATGCAATTAACTGTAGCATTTTCATAATTTAATTGCCCCTGGTCATAATCAACTCACTTTCCCCAAAGTTTGCATATGCTGCTATTTTTGACGTTTTCTTGTAACACAGGAGACTGCTGTCCAGAGTCAACTCCAGAAGACACTGAAGAAAGGTCAGAATTGGTCATGTCCTTCATTTTCTCTGTAATTCCTTTGGGGAACAAAAATAATAATAATAAAAAAAAGTTATTACTTATTGCTGAATGGCAAGTACCATAAACCAGCAACAGAATGGTATTTTGGTTTAAAAATATTTTCAAGGAAAGAAAAAAAAGTAAGGCATTATAAAGACAAAGCTCAACATGTGCAGATGTTCATGATACAATCTTATTTTATTTTATTTTATTTTATTTGATGTATGCATGCATGCTTATTTATATTTATTTATTTTGTCCCTGAGAAAACAGAAAAAGAAAAGAATGAATGAATGAATGTTACAGCATCTTATTTTACTGCAGCATTCAGTAAATGTATGAGAGTTGTTTTGAGATAGGGGTATTTTTTAAAGAGGGATGGACTTCTAGTTATTCATTAATGACAATCTCTGTTGGAATTTTCCTTTATGATAGTTATTTATGAATTACATAGCTTATTTTGCATATCTTGCACAAGTGATAATAGCATGTGTTCAAAGACTGGAAATAGTTTTGCACAGACAAGGTAGAAGAGTGATTCTAATGCCATGTTAATAACATATGTTAATGTTTAAGTGTTATCGTTATATTTGAAATAGTGTAATCATTTAATAATTAATTGCAGTTCTGCATGCTTGACCACTACGGCGTTAATTGAAATAACATTTTTTTCCATTCCCTTTTCAAACTAGAAGGATTTAATTTATTTTCTGCAGTAATCAGATACAGAAAAAGTCTCAGGTTACGCATGTAACCATGGTTCCCTGAGAAGAGGGAACGAGACGCTGCGTCCTCTAGAGGGCGCTAGGGGAATGCCTTCAGTTTGACCGGTGTCTGAAGCATGAATGAAAAAACGACAATGAACTTGACATTGGCAGGCGGCAGTCTATGACGTAAACAATAAAGCGAGTGCGGGTATAAAAGCGCACCTGTGGAAAACGTCATCCACTTCTTTGTCTGAAGGAGATGCAGGTCTACCCACGCCGCCATGCTGAGGGATGAGTGCCCAAAAACTGGATTCCTTAAGTCAAGGACTCAAGGAACACCATCCCTGCCCCAGCCAAATCACTTTTGCCAGGACCCGAGCCACAAACCTCTACAGGCAGGCTCAAAGCTCGCCAGTGTCATAGACTAGCTCACCTACCAAAGTACGGAACTCTAAGAGTGGAGGTCTCAGCCTAACGACTCTCTAAAGTGAGAGGAGACCTAGCTACACTCAACGCCAGAGGCAGTTAGTGAGGCTCAAAAGGGGAGAGCCTACGAACCCATATTTCTGCCTAAGCGGTGCTCTGGAGAGCGGAGGCTTCAGCAGAATGACTCTCTTAAACGAGAGGAAGCCTAACAACACTCGATCCTGGTGGGGGAACTCTTAAGAGTGGAGGTCTCAGCCTAACGACTCTCTAAAGTGAGAGGAGACCTAGCTACACTCAACGCCAGAGGCAGTTAGTGAGGCTCAAAAGGGGAGAGCCTACGAACCCATATTTCTGCCTAAGCGGTGCTCTGGAGAGCGGAGGCTTCAGCAGAATGACTCTCTTAAACGAGAGGAAGCCTAACAACACTCGATCCTGGTGGGGGAACTCTTAAGAGTGGAGGTCTCAGCCTAACGACTCTCTAAAGTGAGAGGAGACCTAGCTACACTCAACGCCAGAGGCAGTTAGTGAGGCTCAAAAAGAAAGAGCCTACTAACTCTTATTACTGCCAAAGACGGAGCTCTGAAGAGCGGAGGCTTCAGCAGAATGACTCTCTTAAACGAGAGGAGCCTAGCAACACTCAACACTAGTTGAGGAGCTCTTAAGAGTGGAGGTCTCAGCATAACGACGCTCTAAAGCGAGAGGAGACCTGACTACACTCAGCGCCATAGGCAGTTAGTGAGGCTCAAAAAGAAAGAGCCTACTAACCAACGCTCAGCCCTAATACAAAAGCTCTAAAAAGTGGAGGTCTCAGCATAACGACTTTTCACACTCAACGCTAGACACCGTTAGTGAGGCTCATGATAAAGCCTACATGCTAATAGTACTGTCTAAGCGGAGCTCTAGGGAGCGGAGTACACTGCCTAACGACTCAAAGCTGGAGTACTAAGCTAGGAGTACTGACCATGCTCCTAAGTGCCGAACAGAGCTCTAGGGAGCAAGCACTCAACATACCAACCCTCTAAAGCAAGGGGAGTGCAACCACCCACCCTTATGGATCAGCGTACTCAGTACGAAGACCTCAAGTGAGGGGAGTACTCAAAAGCTCGACCTAAGAGCGACTTATCAAGGAGGCCCACAAGAGCCTAACAACCTAAAACAGCCACAGAGCTCTGTT